CGCTGAGGCCTCTACTCTCTGCACGGAGGCCTTGGGTGCCCTGAAAAAAATACAATGCCCGTGAGGACCAGTACCTGCAATCCACACCCACGCCCCCAAAGCTGCCAGCCCACCTCCTGCGCCCCTCGCCTTGCGAGCCAGGACTCCCCCAGCACCATTATCGGCCACGTTAGGTGCCACCCCTGCCCTCCCTGCTCCCATTCCGCGGCTGGGGGGTTTGCTGAGCTCAGCAGGCAGGGAGGCCGCTACTTGGAGGTGACACCTTCAGTTGTGGAGCTATGATCTCTGAAGAGGGGCTGCACAGCTGCCTGGGGGGTGCAGCGGGGGCACCGGCCCAGGCCACCCCTTGGGAAGGCAGAGCACCTGCAGCCCCACACCGCAGCAGAGTACATGTGTGCAGATGAACGCCTCCCGTGGGGTCTCGGGCACTGCGTGCGGTCCCGCTGTGCCCCTCACGGCCCCTACCCCGGCACCCGTTCCTGCACCAGCCCTGCTGCCCGCCCGGTGCTTACCTCAAAAGAAGCATCGCTAGACTTGTGCAGGTAATTTAATGATGCAGCTCGTTTCATGCTACAAGAAAGCAGAGGAGAGCAGGTGTGATCGTGTTGTGCCTGGCCAGACCCTGACCCCCAAGGTGGCAGGGCCCCCACCTGCCCTGCACCCAGCCTGGGCCCCACAGCCCCGGTCCCTACCTGGTGTTCCTGGGCTCCAGGGGACCATTGCCCTGCAGTTTCTTGACCAACATCTCACTGCTCTTCCGTATCACCTCCCGGATTTTCCCCAGGGAGCTGCTGCGCTGCAGGGTGCCACTGCCATCCTGGACACAGAGACACAAGCCGGGGTGACGGCTGAGTGGCACCGATCAGGCTCTGACATGCTGCAGACGAGTGGCCAGGAACTGGGCTCAGCTTCAAACACCCCCTTGCCCTGCTTGCATGGAGCATTTAGCCCTGGCCCAGAGCAGGCTTACTGCTCACTACTCGGCTCCCCCTCACCCCGGTTCTCCACAGGACGTGATGACCGTGGAGTCATGGACCCCTCTACCCCCAATCTTGGCTCATCCAGACCGATCCTCCCTCCCGGCCAGTGCAAGCCCAACACCCAGCCAGGCTACTGACCTGCACCAGGCCACCAGCACAAATGGCACTGGCATCCCCACAGCCCTGCTAGAACATGGTGTACTCCATCACCTGTGACAGCTCAGGCAGCAGCTACCAAAGAGGTCCCAGTGGCCAGGGAAGCACCAAGCCCTGATGGGAGCCCCAAACTTGGGGGTACTTTTGTCAGGCCAGGACACGCTGCGGGCGCATTCATTTCAAGGACTCCCTCCCCATTTGCTGCTGGCTGGAGACTATCCTCCCCCTCCCCTTGCCCTTCCTCACCATGCCATTGCTACTCCTCCTCTCCATCCAGCACTTGTCCTGATGCGCATCCTGGTCCTGCATGCCAGGCCTGCAGGCTCACTCATGTCAGACAAGACCAGTCCACACACACACACAGCCTTGTCCCACCTCTAACACCCCCAAGACGATTAGCTTTGAGCCTGCTGAGCAATTTGGGGAGCTCCATCTGGGATGCATTCATTTGGTTGCACCAACACCGTGTTGCCAAGCAGGCACCACCCTCCTACAGCCCCCAACTTTAGCTGTGCCTGGCCCTGCTAGCTGCCCCAGGGTAGAACTTTGCAGGGGTTTCTTCACAGCTTTCTGCTTTTTCCAAAGACCTAAATCTTGTTCCCCACCCCATGGACATGCCCCCAAAAGTCCCCAGTATTTGGAAAGGCACTCTCAGCCCTTGACAGGCTCTAGCCCATCTCCTGCGTTCAGCTCCACATGCATGCAAGGCACAGGCTGCCAGCATGACACCACCTCATGCCACTGTGCCATCATGGCACCAAGCTCTTCCCCTGTGCCCAGACACACTCATTACACAGGGTTGTGGCACCACTGCCCACGTGGAGTTACTTTTGCTCTGATGGCCTGATAACAGCAGTCCTCCCTGCTCCTGATCCCAATAGCCCCTGGCACGTCAGGGCAGAAGAAACAGAGATAAGGCGACCGCAAAAGCCCTTTGCTCCTTATGGGCATGTGCGGGAGCCCCTTTGTACCACTCCAAATGAACAAAATGCTCCGTGGCCCAGGCTGGCACCAGCGATTGCCCCAGGACTGCCCATGCAGTTCTGCAGGTAAGCAGGGTCTCTGCCTTAGGCCAGTCACCCCCTTGTGCTGACCCGTATGGGTCGTGGCTCTGGGGAAGGCTTTTCCAACACTTCCCCGCTCCGATTACCCAAAGCTGATCCAGCCCTAGATCCCTCTCCAACAGCTGAACAGGACTTTTCCTACCAGCAAATCTTTCTCCTGGTATTCATCTCATCCCTTCTCGGATAAGCCAAGTGCATTGAACCTCTTCACTTTCTCATCACGATGAAGGGTTTCCAAACTGGGAGCCGTGTGCTGTTGCTGCAAGGGACCCACTCACCAGGAACGCAGAGAGCACCAAAAGCATTAGCAAGGTAAACAGTTCAGCGCCTGCACCAGGCATCCTGGGCAGGTTTTGGAGGAGCTGGCCATCAGTGCGTGGCACCAGCAAAGACAGGAGTGGGGGTAGGGTGTCTTTTGCCGCCCCACCAGACTTGCGCTGGGTCACCACCCTCCCTGCAGGGTACTGCCATGCCAGGCACTGTTCCTTTTGCCAGGGCACAGAAGCCAGGGGTGGAGAAGGGAACACAGCTAGGGCAGGGGAGCAGGACCACGGTACAAGGACAGCAGGATCCGGTCAGGAAGTATACTCTGGGGTCAGGGCTGGAGGATGGAGCCACATTTCCTCAGCTGCAGTGATGCAGACTGACTGCAGACCAACACCAGAACCAAATGCTGCTGCATGCTGGGTTAAAAATAGCCTCCCTTCCCTCCTCGCTCCCTTTTCTGCAGGGTTATTTTTAACCCAGAACATTTATGGGGCTTGGTTTACCGCAGAGCCCCCACCCCATTGCACCCACGAGGATGAGAGCACTCAAAGAAAAAGAAGCAGCTCCACCACTGAGCTGCTCTCCACTGCGTGTTCCCACCTTGCCTGCTGCATGGAGGCAGAGGACTTGGGCAGGATTTGGCAGCACATGGAGCTCAGCACTAGGGGACACAATGGGGTATTTCTCCAGCTAATGGAAACAACCTGTTGGGGAAGGCCCAAGCTCAGGCACCCCAGAGAGCAGCCCTGCCACATATGACTACAGAGCTGAGGTTAGTAGCAACCCCATTTTAGAGGTTAGGGAGAGGCACAGTGGAGCTGGGTCCCTCATCTCCAATGCTCAGCCTAGGAGAGGTGCCCCAGGGGCAGCACGTCCCCCTGCACACACAGACACCAAGCACCCCCACACCTGCTCCAGCAGCACTTGCACCCGCCACCCCAGGGCTGACCGACGCTGGCCTACAGAGCGTGGAAAGAAGCACAGGGCAGCGGTTCGGGTCTGTCTACCTTTAATCAGAGGTACGGTTGTTACAGCACCAGGACATGGCAAAGCACAGGGGCAGGTGGCACTGAGGCCTGAACGCACCCTGCGCTGGGGACTCTCCAGGAGCACGGAGCAGCGCTGGGAGACAGAGGCAGGGAAGGTGCAGCCCTAGAGCACCCAGCCCTGGGCTGCACACCCCATGGTCCTGAACCTCCTTTCAGCAAGCACAAGCTCCCAGGAGAGCAGCATGCATGTGCCCCAAGGCCTCTGCACCACCATGGGAAAACCAGGCCCAGACAGACACAAGCACATTTAGTATCACAACCTGTCAGATGACTAGCACAAGAGAAACTACCTAGCTAAATAAATAA